GTCTCTACTTGCTGCTAACAAAACAGAGCCCACCTGAGAAAATGCTGCTACCAAAAATCTGTGCTTCTCACCGTTCTTCTGTTTCTAAAATTCCTTTAAAGCTTTTGTCATTCTACGTGGAAATTCAATCCTGCTCCTCATCACCATTCTGTAAAGAGAAGCTTTTTTCTTTGAGAAAGAGCCGTTCCGCCAACCTGGTTCTAGCGCCGCATCAGTCCCAAATAAGCACACAGGAGGCTATATTAATTATGAAGCTGATGGCCTTGTTTTTTTCTTACTGGGTGGCTCTGACTTAAGTAATTACCCCATAATTGTTAATCTAAGTATGTCTCTTACCGGAGAATAGTTTGGGCTTCCTACCCCATGGCGTCACATCTCGAACTCTTGTGTTTCTCCTACCCAGAGTTCTTCTGGACTCCTAGTCCCTCCTATCTTGATTCCTATTGGCTCAACAGTACTTTATTGAGAGTGCTCAAACTATGGAGACATTAGAAAATTTAGGTAAGCATGTTTATCTCCTGTTTCTGGCACCTTGAGTTATGCAACCTTCACAGACATTCACCTACAACTAAGTGCAGGCTGTTGACAGTGCTGTTGGGAAATGTCTTTACATATTTCTACAAGGTTCAGACAGATGGTCTCAAAGAAAAAATGCTTGCATTGTTATTGTTGATCAAACATTTGCTTTGTTGAAATAAAATTGATATATATTTCTACCTTACTTTCCCATAAATCGTGATATCTCTTCAATGTCTCAAAGCCTTTGGATTTCTCCTCCTACTGAGGTTATGTCATGCTTTAAAACATTCAGAAGTCTTATGTACAGTAGGTCTCCAATTTTTTTATAAATATTCTAAAAACAAAAATCCTAAAAAAATTCTTAAATGAAGAGTCCAGTGATGAACATTTTCAAATGTTTTAGTAAATAACATGTTAAAATGTGTTTAACTGAACTGTTATTATTGGGGTCCTTTTTTCTTTTACTGTCTTATTGCTAGAGGTCTTGTGATTGACACTAGGCAATAAATCACTTCCGTATTATTTTACAGGTACTCTGTACCAGCACCAGTTCTGTTTTCTTGTTTCCAAGGTTCTTTTAGGCAGACTCCAGCTATCATCTACAGAGCACCATCACCATTGTTTGCTGTTGTTGTTTCCTAGCATTGGACTCTCTCATGGCATTTTACAGCCCTTTGCTCGTATTTTTCCACACGCGTTACATGTATTTGTGGATATGTTTTCATCCTTACCTGTCTTCTTTTATTCCCTCTTCATGTTGTCTTTACAGACCCCATGTTCTACATGAATTTCTACTTCCAAGGCTTCAATGGGATTTCTCAGCCTCTGTATTCCTTTAACGTTTCTGCAGCTATTTTGCTCTTTAAAGCTGTTGGCTTGATTCCTTCCCAAGGGAATCTTTTTATATCATTTTTAAATATGAGCCACCACTTTGTGACATCTGGAAAGGTGAACAGGGATGCTCTACCCGTGATCATGCCTCTTATATTTTTTAATTTCTTCTTTTTCTCATAGGGATATTCTTAACCTCCAAATACCTCTGCCAAATTTCGTAGTTTTGAGAAATTAATTTCAGCTATTATCATACCAAGTTCAGAAAGCTAACATCTTTCACATTGCCTTATGCAACCTCTATATTTTTCTTGTATAAAAATATTATCAATTCCCTGATCCACTTTTAATGGATTTTTTTTATAAATAATCACAACTGTGAGTGTCTCTAAATTAGTGTCTTCCAATCTGGTAGTACAGACAAGCTGAACATTTTAATTACTGGCAAGTTTTTAGAGTTAGGCAGACTTTGAACTCTAGCCACTTATGATTTGAATGATTCTGTCTATTTCATGGAGGTAATACTAATATGTTCTTTGCTGAGTTATTATTGTCATATCTCAGATATGTTACATGTGAGAGCTAGCAAGATATATCTTTCATCTTAAATCCTCTTACTTGTAAAATTAAAATAGAAGTCCTTCATTTGCAGAGATGTTTTCATGTCTTTGTGTGAACATTTGTGTGCCTGTGTGTGTGCCTGTGTGTGTGTGTGTGTGTGTGTGTGTGTGTTCATGTGCATTATGTTTCTTATGATATAGAGATGTAGAGACAAGGAGATATTCATGGTTTATCTTTGGAAATCATTCCATTTCTGTAATTTTCCTCATATGAGTTTTAATATTTTGATTATTCATGTGCTTATACACATCTCTATTTGTTTTAGGTAGAAATCCCCGTGGATTTATTTTATTGTCTCTGTCTACAAGATTTCCAACTATAAGATGTCCAATTTGAATGTCACACCCTGCCTATTTGTCATATGAAATAAAGTATGACATAAATAATGGTCCCAAGGCTGGGACATAGAAACATAGCCATTAATAACTTTTTCTGTATACTGTGTTGGATATATACATGTGTACAGATTTTTCTTAAATCTTCAAATGATATCCCTTACCCTTTATGTGATATTTCTGAAAGTCCTAAACATGGCAAGTAGCATGCTAGTCATTAGAAATACAGAGGTAAAGATAATGTTCTTGCCCAAAATGATTTCTAAAACTAGTAGGAGGTATATCCACATAAAACACAGAATTACAGAACAAAGTGATTTTTATCATGTCTTTCAAGGTTCACTTTGATCTCCCAGTTTCCATTCTACCTATAATTCTTCTCAAGTGTATCTTTTAACTTCCTTTCAAATCCTATGTTAATTCTTTCTTTTTTCTAGGATTTGGATTACAATTTTAAGGAGCCATAGTCTTCTTAAACTCCACTTTCATTCCTAATCAAAATCACTTTCACTTATTTCTCTGAGGGATGTTCAAAAAAAAATCAAGCCTTCTACGAAACAAATAGAGTATGGTAGAATGAAGCCTCCTGTATGCATAGATTCAATACTTATAAATAATGTTTTATTAGGTTGTTAGCATTATATTTTGTCCCATGTATTATTTTGTACTTACCACAAGCAAATTCATTTTTTCTCACTGTCATATGATCAGCCATATAAAAAGCTAGCAACCATTAGTTGTTTCAGTCATCTGTCTGCATTGAAAATCTAATCCATACTTATTGTCATTCTATTTATAGATCTCAGCTTAGGAAACTTTATTTAGCAAAGTAACATGTTTAGTGTGTACAGTTAGTCATTGGTAGCTTAGTGATGGCTCTGTATAGATGATCCGTGGCCTTTGATTCAAAGATGCTTTCTAAGCAAGTGTTATCTCGATCCTTGACTCAGTTTTCTACTTGTGTCCTTTCAAGCTTCCAAGTCTCAGGTAGTTGGGTTTCTTCTTACTAATGAGTAATTCAATATCACAGTGGTTTTCCTGACCTAACTCTGGAAGTCACATAACTTCACTGTCATTGTGCTCCTTTAGGCAGCATGCTCACAATTCTGTTTCTGAGTCTCAGTGGATGGTGTGTCACATAAGGTTGATGTCATGTTTTGAAAATTAACAGTGTTTATGACTAGCATATATAACCAATTCTGTATTTCAAAATATGTGGAAAATATGCTGTCATTTACAATACTCCATATCAAGAATTATGTTTGATAGTCCAAATTATGATTGGTTTTGGGTTTTTATATTAAATATTCTATTCATTTTACATACTAACCATCGTCCCCCCTTCTCCCCTCCTCTTAATCACCCCGCCTACCTCCCTTACAGGAGGTACAACCTCCTGTGAAGAGTCAACACAGTTTGGCACATATGTTGAGGGGGACCAAGGCCCTCCACACTGCAACAAGGCTGAACAAGACATCCCACCATAGGGAATGGGATCCAAAATGCTAACTCATGCACTAGGGATAGATCCTAGTCTCACTGCCAGGGACCCCACAAATAGAGCAGGCCACACAACTGTCACCCACATGCAGAGGGCCTATTTTTGTGAGTTTAAGATGGAAGGCAATTTATATTGAAACTGACATTAGTGATATTTAGATACTTAGCATGTTCTGAAATGGTGTCTTTAGGAAGTAAGATTAATCCTGCGATATGAAGGACAGGAAATCAAATCATAACAAAGGGAGGGATACATTTAGTACATCCTAGAACGTTAAAATGGGCAATTCAATTTGGCCATCAGTAGCAAGGAAAACATGAAATGTGCAAGGGGCTGTAGATATAGTAGGAGGTCCACGAAGCTAGCAAACTATACAATGTATAGTTTTAAATTTCAAAAATAGAAAGAGGATGAGTAGGGTAGGGACATGGGAGTGAAATGATGCTAATTGTACTTTAGAAGGATCACTTACACTGATTTGGTCAGTAAATTAGAGAACAAAAGTTAGATGTGACTTCTGATGTTTTCCCCAACCTTCCTTCTAGCTCATTATTGTCTCCCAGCTCCCTAGTCAACAGAGTGCTGAAAACCACTCTCATTCTCTTTTAAGTCTCATTATTTCTTTGAAGCTTCTTTTGACATGAAGTACTGATCTCTCCTTTCATGTGCTGCTACCCTATGTTATTTACCATTATAATAATATCTCCCCATTTCTCTTGTAATTGTGTCTATTTGCCAGTTATCCTTTGAACTCTTGAATACTTTGCAGGAATATTATAATATTTCGGCTTGACTTCAAATGGCTAGAAGATCACAGAACACATCTAGCATTCTGTGGACAAGTATTAAATTAGGTGATGAATGATATTAATTTTGTATGCTCAATTTAAATATTTTTAAATGTATATCTTAAAATCCTATTAAACTATTTTGAGGAAGGTATTTAGCTATTTTAGAGAGTTCATTTCTTTTCACAAAATTATAATGATGTCTATAAATTCTATTTACCCTTATCTTTAGATGTTTGTACCTATTATTACTATAACTTTTGTGAGGAACCTTTTTAAAAAGATTACCTTATTATAAATTATTAGTGTGATTACATGTTAGCATTTGTGCCTGTAAAGTAGTAAATATCAAAGAATAAGACTAAATTCTATATTTCACTTATTTATTTGTTTTCTGTTGGACAGGGTCTCCTACTGCTCAGGCTATCATGAAACTCAGGATGGAGAAGAGAAAATCCCAAACTTCTGATACTCCTCCCGCTTCTACATCAGAAGTTCTTGTCCCACAGACTCAGAAGACAATAACAGACAATTATATGGGTGATATTATTTTATTATTATTAACTGCAAATTTCCCCCAAGGAGTGTATATGCATGAAGAGGGCCAGTTATAGCTTGCTTGATATATGGCACATATATCATCTCCACAGGTCTGTGATCTAGATTCCTTATATCAAGGAGAGATAATTTAAATTCAAAGTACATGAGTATGGCAGTTTGAATGAGAATGATTCCCTTAGGCTCCTATGTTTGATTTCTTGGTCCCCATTTCGAAATATTTGGGAATTGCTAGAAGGTGTGGCCTTGTTGAGGTAGGTATGACTTTGCTGGAGGAAGTGTGCCACTGTGGGGGCTTTGAGGTTCCAAAAGCGCATACTATGTTCAGTATCTTTCTCTTCACCTGCTGACTGTGGGTCAAGATGTAAAGCTCTCAGTTACTACTTCAGCACCACATCTGTCTGCTTCCCACATGATGGTCATGGGATAGCTCTATCCTTATAAGCAAGTTCTCAATTAAATGCTTTCTTTCACAAGAGTTGCCTTGACCTTGTTGTCTCTTCCAGCTCTAGAACAGCAATTAAGACAAGGAGGAATGGATAAAATACAGAGTCTGATATTAGGGTTCAAGCTTCAAGCTGAGTATCAGAAAAGCAAAACAGATGGTCATCACCTTATTACCTTCACCTTAGGCTGAATGGGCTGTTCCTGTCTCCATGAGGTCCCACAAAGCCTCAGACTGTAAGCTTTCCTCAGTGTGGCTAGAGAATCAATGCCTCTCTGAGACCTTGCTTCTATTTTATATACTTCACTAATGTAGGGATTAAATGTGTGAGCTATCATTCTCTTTTAGACTGGTTCACTCTTTTGTAGATCTGCATGACCTTAGACTCACAGAGATCCCTCTCTCTCTTAATCCTGAGTCCTAGGATTAAAGGTATATATCACCACCTCCTAACTTCAGATAGCTGGGATTAAAGGTGTGTGCCTGACTTCTAAGGCATGTGACTGGCTTTGCTTTTCTGAATCCTCAGTCAAGTTTTAATAAATCATAAATAATACATCACTAAAGAGCAATGGCATCAGTAAGTAGTTCGGTCCTCATAGGACCAGTGTTGCAAGTAGTTGCTGCTAGCTTCACATCTGTACAAAAATCAGGTTTATTTATGTAACTCAAGTTTGTTAATTACCAGTGGTCTGAGTATCATCCCCAAGTGTCTGAATTATCCAGATACTTCACTCCTGGCCACCTATAACACTTCCAGTGTTTACTTGGTTTTACAAAAGCCTTGGGGGAAGATGTCACATTCCCATGCCTTGACTCTTCTTTTCTCCAATATCATGCACTCCTGTAATCATGATCCGCCAGCACAGTCACTGACCACACCCTGCTGAGGTGAGTTACAGTCAGTCTCCCTACTGCAGGTCTCTAATCATCTTCTTTTAAATTATATTGAAAATATGACAAATCCATCTTTTAACTTCGAATTTCAGGTGACAGCCTTCCTTCTTGTCAAGGTTAAAAGATACAGGGTTAAAACAAAGATGAACTTACGCACACACCTGGGTCAACTGAAGTAAAAAATCAAAGAAGCATTCTATTTATTCTTTAGGTCTTAAACATTCTGTATCCAAATAGGTTTTGAGGGAATTGTGCCTATGCTATGAATAATACTCTTTCTATTTTCTCTTTCTCTTATTTGTATGATAGATTTACGGAAGAAACATGTTTGTGATGCATCCCTGGTGACATGGTGTTGACTTTCTGTTCTTCTTTTCAACATTGGCTCATCCACTTTGGCAAAGTTAACAATTTCTTGTGGCATTATGGACCCCAATATATACTACATTATACTTCTTTGAGACATAAAATGAACCCCAAGAATTTACCCGCTATGTATAACCTCTATATATGTAACTTTTATATAGCAAGCATAGCCTCCATTAATTTTCTAAAGTTGAGCAAAGATCAGGTCTAAATATTCCAGTCTGCATTTATAGACATTCTCTGGCCACTTTGACAGGGATACTATCTGAGGGGAAAGTTCCTGGTACTACAATGTAGTTTTAGATTTTTTTCCAAATTCAATCTGGAAAAATAAATTTTGCAAGACATCTTGAAATAACAACGATGACATAGATATAAACACATATTTTATAATTCTAGTGAAATGAATTATAGTAAAACTCAGGATATCTTTGAAACAAATGCATCATTTCTTTAATCCTTAATCAAAACTAATAACAGAACAGTGGGGAAAATTTGACACAAATGTGCCTGAAACCTGCAGGGTGTCCGTATTGTTCTTGCTGTATTTTTAATTGCAAGCAAAAAGAAATGCAAATTTGAACAGCAGAACAATGTGCAACCATGGGAACACAAAATAAATAAATGAAGCCCAACAAACATCTGGCTAAGAATGGTTTTAGAGAATTGATATGCTAAAGAAATAATGACTACCATCATTTTGTAGATGACTCAAGAAGAGTAAGGTCTGCACATAAGTGGGTTGCCACAGTTCAAATGCTCTCTTTATTTTCCCTTTTAGTCTCTACACATATTCCAACATTACACATAATGGAGATATCAAGTGCCATGCTTGATTTTCTTACCTCTAGAAAACAACATAATAACCCAGCACTTACACCATTCTTTTACTTCTTTTTCTTCCACAGATTATATTGAATCCACCTACAAAATATATACCCTCTGCCTATATTCACTTATTTTTCACATGTATATTGAATGATTAATATAATCATAAGCAACATAAATGTTTACTTTTAGACAGTTTCCCATCTCATTTTTCCACCTGTATGGAGTATACTTTTCTCCAATTATGCTAGATCTGGCCTGTGATTTCTGTATCAAAGTAAGTAGGATATATATATATATATATATGTATATATATATATATTCCTACCTTTTCTACTTATCCATGTCACACACATTAGCTAATGGAGTATTTTCTGTTACAATAAAAGCAGACATAAAACATGCCTAAATAGTAAATTATTCACTCCTATACTTTTTGGCATCAAATATCAAATGGGGTGAGACAATTCCTCATATAATGCACTCATCTAAGAATAATAAGGTACATTCAACATGTGGGAACATACCTTTGTGGAATAAAGCCCAACGGACCACAACATATATTATTTGAATATTGCCCAAGCCACAGGTACTACAAATATGATAGATGATGAATTATTTAGACTGCCAAGCATAGAGGTAGATTATCCAAATTTTATGTAGTTAATGTAAATACAAAGCACAATACAAAATGAAACTGCCATGGTGAAAATTATATCCTTTCTTCTTTGCATCTATTTATGATGTAACCCAGAAGAAAAATATTGATAATTGGTGGTATATTTTCAACAGATACAAGAACGAAGAAATATACACTTTTTTATGATCCAGAATTTTCCAAAAAAACTACATATACATTTTTGTATAGTATTTTGGTAATCTTTCATTTAATTTATCTTTATAATAGTTCTATACAGGCAGATAAAAGTCTGATTTATTAATTTTAACGCCTTAGTTATATCCCATTTCAAAAGTGTGATATATCACTTTAAGCTATTTTTCATTTCTACGCATTGTATTCTTTTGGAATTTTGTACCTAATTTTGAATAATGATCATCTAAGCTTAAATTCAAGCTCTCTGGAATGCAATATCCCCTCATTTTTAGTGGGCTTGTTGAAACATACAAGGCCTGTATGGATTTTGCTTTGTAGTTAGCAATACTGTAGCGAGGTTACTGAGACTGGAGCACTTCTTGAAAGTCATACTTTGTACTCTATTTAGCCCAGTGTCCAGAGCATCAGGGGCCTCCATTTATTCTTACCACAGAGTGCAAGTACATAAGAAGTCACCAAATGTCTAGGGTGCATGCTCATTTTGTCTCTCTCTGGGACTATCTTTGTGCTCTTATAAAGTCACAGCTATTCAGTCATAAGGGGTATTTTGATAAATTTACATAATTCAAATTATGCCCCCATCTAGAAAAACAATAATCAGAGTGCCACTACTTTTCTAATATCTCACAATGGCATTTGATTATAAAACACAAACCCTTGCAGAACACTTCAGACCTTATCCAAGCAACAGCAAAATGTCATTCTTGTTCACCCAAAGTCCATTTTAAGTATAATTCATGACTTTTCTCTTCTATCATTATGGGATAAAAGTGGAAGATAAACCAAAACATAATAATAAAATGCAAGCATGTATTTGCTTAGTACTTATTAAATATTTAATGCTTATGAATCACTGTATCTGTCTGAGAATGTGTATTGTAAAACAAACACAAGTTATTTCTGTTTATTTATGTGCACAAGGAAGCCGAATGTGTTACTCTTAAGTGTGTCTCCTTTACATAATGATTCTTTTCAGCTAATGTCAATTCAGAAAATCTAGAAAACAGAAAACCCCATTTTCTTCCTGTATGTTGAAAGGTAGAGACTCTTGCATGGGGATAGCCAACCAGCTTCTGTACTTGGGTGGACAGAAGCTGTGCCCTGATCTGCTCTGGATTTCTTCCCACCCCATAGGTGGCAGACAGAAGCCATGCAGGTCTTATTAACTGGAATCACCTGATATCATACCCCACAGGTTTATTTGTGTGTGTGTGTATGTGTGTGTGTGTGTGTGTGTGTGTGTGTGCCAAAATCTCTAAGTCCTCTTTCTTTGTTCAGTCACTTTCTCTATGATTTTTCTTTTCCATTCTTTGCCAAGTGCTGTTTATATTAAGGGGTTAACACCCATCTAATTACTCATCACTGAGCTCTCCTATGTGTAAGCAAGATTCACAGGTTAGTCAACTGCAGTCTTTCTATCTGTCTTGTATTTTACCACTGTGATTTTCAAGGCCCCAGCCAATGAGCCTAAAATGCTATAACAAAACTGTTTTTTTTTTCTTTACTACTCATACTAATTCAGTCTCCTTGCTGTTTAGTGAAAAGGGTAATGTTCAACATAAGACTTAGTCAAAAAGAAAAGCAATTAAAATGTTTGGCGAATGGAGTTGGACACAGTAGTTGCGTGAAAATCAGAACATGTTTCCAACAGTAATGAAAGATTCATAAAACA